ATTGTTGACATCTATCAATAATTAGATATCATTATTTAACGACAATAACATAATATAATAAAGAAATAGAAATAGAGAAGGGTTTTCATGTAGAAAAATTAAACTTACAAAAATATTGATGTTGCTTTAAATTAAAAGTTGAGTATTTAGTACCATTGATATGTAGTCGTTATTAATATAATTATTCCAACATAAATCTAAAAATACCTTTGTGTGAAAACCTTTTAATGAAATAAATCCTTCAACTTTGAAATCATGGTCTTTAATATAAACAGGTTCAAGGTTCTAATAAAGAAATTGTTAAGGAAAGAATACACGAGATTTAATTATGTATTTAGACATTTGACAATTTCTAAACATACATATACTTACTTGAGCTAATGTTGCGCCAAAAAGTTGTCTAAATATGGAAATACTTGATGTTACCTATATATATATGTGTGTAAAGAAAGACATAATATAATTAACCAACACAATGATCAATATGAATCGGCAGAAATAGTAATAACAATAACAATAATAATAATACCTTTCTAGTTGTAACTATTTTAGCATCTTTTGATGAGTCGACTAGTGTGAATGTGACATTTGGATGTATTAATGCCATGACGTTTATAGTTCTTTTGACACTTTCTAAATCGTTGATCATTGCATTAGCAGATTTATATTTTCTACGTACTGGATACTTTTTTAATTATTTAAGTTGGGAACATAAAATATAATTAGTAAATCGGTTTAAAGACATTGGAATGAATAACCGAATGAAATAGTTACAGAGTAAAATAGATCTCTGATTATGACGACCGTTCCAGGAATTTTACGTTTGCTGTTACGAGTTGGACCATATTGAAGACGATTGCCACCCTAAAAAAAAGATCAGATGAATTCTCACATTTACTGGTTGGTTGAGTAGCTATCAACAAACCGATCAACCGATCAAGCACATATTGAACTTACTTTAATTATGGTGCAATATGTGTCAAAAAAATTAGAATGTTTACTTATTATTTCCAAAATTGAAAGTTCAGCAATATTTGCCAAAGCTATTATTTTTTTGGGGGAGGATTAAAAATAAGAAGGTCATGAATATATTTTATTAACTATTAATTAAGAACCTTCTCCACGAAAACCATAAGTAGTAACATTTTTCAAATCATCCAATGTGTGACATTTAGATGTTGCTATAATAGTAATTTATGAAGTTGAAGAAGGTGGATAAGTGAATTGATAAAAACAAAAATAATAAATCACACTATGAATAATAATAATTTCATTCATTTACCATAACGCTTTCCAATGTTATTCATATCGTCTGGAGGGATTCCTGTTCCATTATCAATAATCTGGATAAAATATTTGGTTACATCAACATGAATCTCTATGCTGGTAGCAGAAGCGTCAAGGCCTAAAGTAATGTGAAATTATTTATAGCTGTAAATTGTACAAATAAGCAATTCTAAATAATAGGGAAAAAGGAAAAAAAAGAACCATTTACTGTTTTGGACTAATTCAGCAACACATTGAGATAAACAAGTTATGAGAGAAGCACGTAATTTACGAATAGTAGTATCGTTTAAAATACGAATGGTCATTTTAACAAAAAAAAAGGGGGTTTTTAAAGATAGATTGATGCTTATAAAATTATCGTGTATATTAAAATAGTTAGTATCAGTAGTGCAACATGCATAAAAGAAATTACGATAAAGCGATAATACTTTTTTATTTATTATTATTATAATTATTAAAAAAAAGAAATGGAAAAAAATACAATTAAGAATTAACAAATTTTACAATTAACTATTATTGTTATTAGATCAACTAACAAAAAATAATAAACGATACTCCAATAATTAAATTTTAAAGAAATTTTATAGAAATTCACGATTATCTTGATAGAAAGCTAGACAAATATTTTTAATTTCGCTGGATAAGCCCAAGAGATTCACATTTTTCATTACGTCATAATAATTGTCTATGTTCAATTTATCATAGAATCTATCCTCGTCTCCAAAATAAAAAAATTCCAAGATTATTTCGAAAGTATCAGGTGATGGTAAATTGATTTTGATAAGATCGCCTTTCTTAACTTTCTTTTTTGTAAAGATGTCGCAGAAGTAATTAGATTGGAATTCAAGATATTCCTTGTGAATAAAGAAAGTTCTTTGCTCATTGATGCTTAATTCCGCGTATGCTGTAGATGGATCATTGTAAAACATCGAGCCCATTTCATGTAATTTTGAGACTAAGTATGGGACTGGAATTTCAACTGATTGTTGTTGGTTCGACATTTTTTAATTTTTATATAAAGAAATGTAAAAAATTGTAATTAAAAAATTATATTTTATGCGTGTATGTTATATAAGAAGTGAAATAGAATTGAGGATTTAATAAGTATTAATTTTGATGAATTATTAATTATTCAAAAAAAAAAAAAAATTCTGTAAAATTTTGAGCTATATTTATTTATTTATTTATTTCTTATTATTCTGAAATGAAAGAAAGATATGAATTCACGTCCACACATTGCCTTTATATAACCACCGAAATTATAAGAAAACTATTAAACCTTTTCTTGGTTATAAGTTAATTAGTAGTTAATATTGTTTCTTTACAAACTGAAACCAGAAAACAATGAATTCCGGTAAAAAAACGATTTCCGTTAAATAAAGAATTAAATTATTACCAATTTTATGTTCATTCATTATTAAACGGGTTTATTTTTTTTGTGTGTAGACAACGAAAACATGTGTGCATATACAATATGCGCATTGACAAAATATAAAATTTATATTAGAACTAGTATTAATAAATACACTAATGCTAGTATACCTAATCCTAATAAACCAAGATCGATCAATAAACTAATATTAATATAGACATAAAAACAACAACAAACAAATTCAAACTCAAAATAAATCCGTTTTTTTTTTTTAATGTCCACGTTTCGAAAATTTTTTTTTTACGCAACAAAATTATTTTTACCAAGATCTTAAAAATTTGGAGGTTTTATGATGATTTTTTTATTTTGAATTAAGATTTTTAACGTTTGAATTGTGCAGATCATGCGTCGAAAAAAAACAATAATATTAAAAATGAAATACAATGATTGTTATAATTATGATCTTCGTCACGTGAGACACAGACAATGGTTTATTATTAAAATTTTGCTATTGTTGTTAGTTTCAAACTTCTGAAACGTTATCATTAGACTTATTTTTTGCAACTTTATATTATCTTCTAAATTTGGAAATAGTTGATAAAAATAAAAATAAATAAAAATAAATCACAAATAAAAATAAATCATAAATAAAAAAAAAATTCAAATTTTGAAACTTTATTGTTTCGAATATGATGTCAAATGGAGGAGGATGAATGAATTATTTGGCCTAACTTGGTTGGTTAATGATATGAGATATATATAGGTGTTAAAAGTTTGAAACGTGGAAATAAACATTTACATCCAAAAACATGAAATAAATAATGAAATAGGCATCAATGAAAGAAATAATGAAAGAAATGAGAAGTTCAAATAAATCAACCAGGAGATAAATTTTATCATCTTGAAACATTTGCTTGAAATAAAAGATCTTAAAGAGTATTAAAAACATTAATTGATGATAATGAATGGTAATTAATTGTCCCAGGGTAAAGAAAATATTTCATCGGATAGAATGTGAACCGATGGCTCCGGGTTTTAAAATATCACTGGGCAGTTTATTACTTTTTTTGGATATTTTGCACCAATTAAATATTTTAACCGAAACAAATAATGTGGCTGATGCATTAATATGACTTGCCATCTTTAGTTTTTAAGGATTTAATTTGTTCTATCAAATAGTATTGATTAAATAGATTATTAATATTATTAATTTACAAGGGATCAAATAGTATGAGAGAAAATTATTGTTATTATTATTTGATTTTATTGGTTGTAAATGTGAAAAATCCCGTATTCAAAAGTTTGGAACCTCACATCCCTTCAATGAAAACTCTAGCACAATCATCTTCTTTTTCATTACTGCCAGAAACTTCCAAAAATCATTTTTCGTTTAGTAATTCTGCAAAATTAAATATTTTAGAACATCGATTTAACAAACATGATCTCGAGTGCTCGGAAGTTATTGGGCAATTGGATGATAAATTTATTGTTTGTAAATTGCCATGTACTGACAATCTTAATAATAATAATAATAATAATAATAGTGTTATAAACAGTAATGACGATAATGACAGGGATGATGTAACGGGGAAAAGAAATGTTAAATATATATTGGTTCTTGTAGATCAACATGCTGCTGATGAACGTGTTAGAGTCGAAATGTTTATGAAAGAATTTTGTGAATTTAAGCAAATCAACAATATTGGCGGTGGCAATGATGACGACGATGACGAATTAAAAATTTCTATGGTTGGAACAGTTAAATTTACCAGTTCGCCGATTAAAATTTTTTTAACTAATCGAGAAGCAAAAGTTGCATGGAGATTTCAAAAATATTTTAATATCTGGGGAATTTTTTTTACTGATAAGCCAACATTATCAAAAGAAAATGATGATGAATTAAAAAAGGCAACATGCGAAAATCAAAATAGTAGAAAATCAAATCAAACATCATTTTTATCTACAACGCACCTCCACTCGTTCATCAATCCTGATAATGATTGTTGTCCAATTTTTATCACTCACCTACCAAAAATAATTTTTGATCGATGCACTACTAGTAATTTTACATCTAATAATTCTACATCTACTATAAACGACGGTAATGGTAATGATGGTGTTAGTGATTCACGTCTAATTCAAGAACTTGTGCGTCAACACTTATACTGGTTAGAAGAGATAGGTGGTATAGGATTGGGAGGATTCGTCAACAATTATAATGATGATAATTGTCAACTTCATTATGAGCAGAAACGACAACTAAAATGGCAATTTATGATTAGAACATGTCCAAGAGGTATTTTAGATATAATAAATTCAAAAGCTTGTAGAGGTGCTATAATGTTTAATGACAAGTTATCATTGGATCAGTGTAAAGAGTTGATAGCTAAACTTTCTAAATGTGAATTTCCATTTCAATGTGCACATGGAAGGTAACCAAATTGCTATAATATTTGCATTAATTATAACCTCCCCTATTTATTTGTTAACTAATCGTCTATTATGTTTTAAAGACCTTCTATGATCCCAATATTAAATTTAGAAGGCATTCAACAACAATTTCACGAACAGCAACAACTACTACTGAATAGACAAAAACAATCAGTTTCATCGTATAAACAAAATTTATTTACAAATGAAATTTATAATCACCATCATTTGAATGTTGAGTCTTCTTCTTTCGCTATAAATAAAGTTGTTGAAAATGGAAAATTTGGTAGTTGGAAAAAAAGAAAAATTAATCTAGATAGATACCATACGTTATTTAACTAAATATTATAGATTTGTATATATTATTTTTATAATTATTTTAATTTTTAAAAATAAATTTATAGAATTTTACCACCAGGCATTAATGCTATTATTCGACATATTTATTTATAACACACAATTATTGTTACATTTTTTTTTATCATCAATTCGTCAATTTGTTTTGATCATTAATCAGCCTGTTTTGGCAATAATTACACCAAAACTATATGTTATATATGGTATGTACATTATTATTATCATCATTTACACATTAGATACTTCGATTAATCGCTTTAATATTAAAATATGGCTAAAGAATATGATAAACTGAATAATAAAATATCAATTCCAACAATTTTCTTATTAACATGTTTTATCCTACCCTTTTTAGTGTTGACATATTTATTAGTAACGTCAACAAGTAAAATTTCTTCAAATTCGAAACAGATTATTTCAATTCCATTTATCTTGACATTAATCATTATTCCTATCAAGTTTACAAGTAACAATTTACAAATTGATATTATACTTTCTACAATTGGAATGGCATCATTTCTTAAATATTTAGACATATTTTTTGTTGATCCTTTTACCTTTAATTACAACAAAAATAATAATAATAATAATGGCAATGGCATGGGCATCGGTAATGGTAGTAGCGGTAGTAAAGAAATTTATCAAACAATTGAACAGGTTAAAGCCGATGCAGTATATCCATTTCGTAATTTATCATCATCATCAACTCGGACACCCGCAGCATCATCACAATCACCTTCATATTCATTAATCAAGCCGATGATATTTATTTTAGTATTAGACATAATCATATATAAATATTTCATCAAGAGTTTGAATGCGACTGAAATATTTTCAATGAAGCAATTCCATTCAAGGTCATTAATTAATTTAATATTTTGTTTTTGCATACAATTAAATATGGAATTTGGCAATAGATTCATAATACTAATTGGATCATTAATATTTACAAATGGAAAATATGATAAAAAAGAATGGAAGTTATTATTTGATAATCCATGGAAATCAACATCTTTATCAATCTTTTGGGGGAAAAGATGGAACCAATCATTTAAACATATTTGGAAATCTTTAATTTCCAAGTTAATTTATAATAATTCAGGTGATGATAACGGTAAAAATAAGAATAGGAGATTATTGCTAGTATTTGGTATATTTTTATTGAGTGGGATTCATCATGAATTTATTATTTGGTCAACAATTTATTATTGTTGGATACCAGGGGAACAAATTATATTTTTCATGTTACAATTTATTGGAATATTAATCGAAAGAAAATTAATTTTTAACCATGATAATAACAACAACAATAATAGTCTATTGTCTTTAATATTTGGATGGTTTTGGACTTTATTTTATTTAATAATTACAGTTTCTTTTTTCGTCGATTCTTATATACGATGTGAATATTGGATTGATGATTGATGATTGATTGATTGATTGATGGATTGATGGATTGATGGATTGATGGATTGATTAAAATTAAATAAATAATAATAAGATATTAAAGAAAATATTATATATATGATAACTAATTTTGCTATTAAATTCTATTTTCTATATATATATCTATTTTTTATAAAAATTATATATCTTTTAATGTTCTTAACATCTCTTCACGCGTAAGATTTGTAAGATTATTAATTTCATCTCTATCATCCTCATTCATATTTGATGTATCAATTGGTGGTAAAACTTTCAAAAGAAAAAAAAAAATAGAATATTAGGAATTATAACAATTATTATAAATAATAAATAAATAATTGTAATAATCTTATACCTCTGACTCGAAATTCGCCACTTTTAAATAATCTTCTTTTTGAATCATAAAGATGACTATAATTTCCAACAACAATTGGAACAATTGGAATTTTGGCTCTTACGGCCATATGAAATGCACCCTTTTTAAATGGTAGTAAATCAGCTTCTTGTAAACGAGCGCGTGTACCTTCAGGAAAAATAAAAACGCTTGTCTAAAAAAAATTGTGATTGTGCGATGGATTGGTTGTAGGACGGTTGTGAGATGATGTAAATAATTAAATAATTAATAAAATTAATTGATTTATATTATTATTTTTTTAAAAAAATAATTTATTACTTTTTTTGCTTTGATTTCATCAGCAGCTTTTTGTAAAGCTTGTACTGCATTTTGATGATTTTTACGATCAAGAAATATTCCTTGACCAAGTTTCACTAAAGTTAACAAATATATATAAAATAAATAAATTATTAAACTATTTTTAAAAAGATCAAATATCAATACTAATAATTAAAGGGTATTATTTTAGACAATAATATTACTATATCATCGTTAGATAACTGCCATTGTCATTATGTAATTACCACTAACATTATATTTACTTACTGTACAAGTTTAGAAAAGGAACATATTTTAAGGATGATTTGCCGATAACTGTACAATTTTTTGGAAAAACTTTTCCCAAAACCAAGAGATCAGCAGTTGCCTGATGATTACAAATAAAAATTGCTGGTTTAACATCGAGATACTCTTCTCCTTCAACTTTAACAGTTATACCCACAGCTCTGCTAGCAAAAAATAGAAATGAACGCCCCACTGCCCAATTGATCAAGCCTCTTTTACCAATAATTGAAAAAAATATTGAAATAAAACTACCATATACTGAAAAAATTAACACTAAAATTGAACTGATTATTGCCTTAACTACAAATTCTATTGTTGGACTTATTTTAATACCAGTTATAATTGCTCCAATTATTAGTGCTACTGCAAATGGATGTGAACTAATAATAATACTTATACTATTTAATTTTAATAAATTGTCTAACAATAACGTCATCTTATTATTTAATTATTAATTGTTTTGATTGTTTTAATTGTTGGAGAAAGAGATATTCTTGAAAAAAAATTTTTTTGAACAAAAAAAAGAATATTTTTATATATATATATACGCTGGAAATATTACTAATCTCTGAGCGGCTAGTAAAGAAATTTGGAAAATAAGGAGTAAAAAAAGGGAGATAAAAGATAATAGGGTAAACAATGACAACGAAGATTGGTAGGAAAGATGATGACAAGGAATAAAAACAAAACAAAAAATGAATGAATAAATCTTCCGCTAATTATGTCATATATATGAAATTGGAAATGAACACGCGACTTTGTTTTTAATGTGCAATAATTATATATAATTATGAAAAAAATTTATTGTATAGGTACAAACAATGTCGTGTAACTTGATAATCGACAGATTGTTTATTATCTAAAAAAATACAAGAAAGAATTCATCTATTATCATATTGTTAAGTTATATATATTAATATGACATAATAATAATATTCATGAGATAATCTTATAAATCGTCATCTTTAATTTATTTATTTTAACATAGTTAATTAATAGTAATTATAGTAATAGTAAATTGTAGTGATAGTGATAATTTATATATCAATTATCAATAAATTAAAATCACCAATCGGTTTTCCATCCTCCCTCATCATCGTCATCATTATCATCATCATCACCGTCTCTAATATTTTCTTTATCTTCCTCCGCCTTCTTTTTCTTCAAATTTTCTTTCTCTCCCTTCAACCTTTGATTATATCCACCACCACCACCACCAACAATATCATCATCATCAACGTCTTCTACCACATCTTTATCAACATCATCCTGATCTTCTACAACATTGTTTAATATGTCAATCATCTCAGTTACTTCCTTTCTGATTGATTCAATTTCTAATCCCAAACTATCTAATTGAGGTCTAGAACTATTCAAATAATCATTTATATTTATGAAATTTGTACATAAATCATATGTTGATTCAATTGCTGTTTCTTTTTCTTCTGTTGTATTTGCCATTGCTGAAGAATACAGCGAATTGAGTTGACTTAGTAATGAAGATATTGTTGGTGGTGGATTCTGTTTGGGTTTTGATGCTTTATATATAATTATTAATTAATAATAATAATATTTTTTTAATAAATAAATTACATTTATTATTATTACTTTGTTCCTTATCAACAATCTCTAATTCGTCAATTAAATCCAAAATGTCATCAACATAATTTTCATCTTTTGTAGTAGTCGAACTTAATTGTTGTTCTTGGTAAAGTTGTAATTGTTTCAAATCTTGTAACATTTT